AATTAAGGGCTATCGAAAAGGAATTCTTGTGCCAAATATAGCATCTTTCCAAGGCATTACCTTTGAAGTGACTTATGGTGTAGCAAACAAAACTGCACTTTCACTCTCACTCATGTTAGTTTTCCAGATAAGTTTATCAGATAATGAGTTAGGAGGATATCTAATGAACCGAGAATTCCTCCATGAATACAGATTGCTGGTGTTTGCTATATGGCAATGGGGAGCAGGGTACATTGTCACAAGTTTTGCAGAAGCAGTGAGATTAACTGACTGCAGAAAGGTGATACAAGAAAGTTTTAAGTGGCCTGGAACAGAGGTATAGAGAATTTATCTTGCTATTAATGAACATGGCTTTAAGACTGTGTTTTAGAAATCACTTTCACTTGTGCTACATTCCCAAAGTCAACTTGAATGTGACTCTTCCTGCCCCCTATGTGTATCCTTCATTTGCTTCTCCTGTTGCAGCTTCTCTTCCTTCTTCTTGTATGCTTTTTCTCAGGCATCATTAATGAAACATCCTGCCTAGGAGTGGGAATAGTTGGCAGTGGCTAAACTGATATCTTTGAGAATATGAATGAGTGTGTCTACATGAGAGGTTTGCTGCAGAATAACTAGGTTGGTCAAAATTGAAGGCTCCATAGTTAACTGGTGGATATTCTGTTTGGATGCGAAATACGTTTTTGCTGTTAGGACCATATTGCTCAGACATGCACTGGATTCTGGTGAAGCAACTTACGGTGTTTGTACAAAGTTGTTAAGGGTGGTACAGAGAGCGTGTGAGAAAGCACATTCTGGAGTTTTTCCTAGCATTGTTGGATTGAGTCTTAGGAGATGAGTTTGTTTACCTGGGGGATTTTCTGCAGAATAATTTTTTGGTGAGTATTTGAAGTAAACTAGTTAACATGTGAATGCTCTGTTTCGGTGCTGCATGCCCTCTGTTTGGGTGCTACGCACCCTTTTCCTGTTGATCTCAATTTACTTTAAATTAAAAGAGAAGAAGACCATAACTGATGAAACAAATGTGTCTGTCTATCAATATAGGGAGAGAAGTTTATTTTAGAGTCTTTCTTCTTTAGACATATCCTAGGATCATAAGGAACAAGTCCCTAAACCAACAAGAAGAGATTTGTTTATTAATACTAGACTTTATCAGTTTTATCCACACAGGAAGTCCTTTCAACCTTGGAATGGAAAGAACTGATTTTCCATTCCTTCCTGAAGACTTTGAGTGTTTTCAGAGTAGAGGTTGCTGGGGCAGGAGTTTTAAAGCAGGAGAGGGTATTGGGAAAGAGAAGATGTTGGAAGAAGGAAGTAGATGTTGGGGGAAGCAGCAGGAGACAACGTATGGGGCTGGAAGGAAATTGTACAATGCAGAGCTGTTGATTTGTCTTGTTGATAACAAGTACTACTTTTTTTTTTTTTTTTTTAATATCCTCTTCAGTTGCAAAGCTATTTTGCTTGTTAAAAATCAATAGGCCCAATAATAAAGAAGTTACCAACACAGAGTTACCAAAGATGTGAATGTCTGTCTGGAAAATTATACAACCTATAGTTAGGATATTGAAGGGTATCAAATAAGAATATACACAGAAGAACAGGAGGGAAATCCCTTTTTATTCCTCATTGCCCAACCTCTTTTCTTCTTTCATCTGTAAAGAAACAAACAAAATCAGTGTACCATACCTACAGGAACTGGAGAGTCAGTGTCTTTCATTTGCGCTTGCGTTAGAAAGGAGATACTGGGCAACTACCTGGAAGAACTCTAAACTAGTTATCCATGTTGAAATGGTTTATCATTCAAATTTAAACTCTCTGTGGTGCTGCAGATCAGAATATTTTATAAATATTTCCTCTAAGTTGGTACATGGAGATGCCCAGCTACTAAATTTTCTTAAAAAAAAAAACAACAAAAAAATCCACTTTGTTTCTGAAATTCATTTGTTCTCTTGTCTTATCTGAAAAGGCTCTAGAACATCTTGTCTTGAACTATTAAAGATGCCAAAAGAATTGCAATAGGTTGAAAGAAAAGTGTTTCTAGAAGGGTCATTGTAAATTCCATAGAAAATCTCACTGGTTCTGTGGATCTAAAATTTAGTGTAGCTGGTTGGAGTAAAAGAAGAGGAAAGGTGAAATCTGGTTGTTAGAATTTAAGTGTAACTTTATTCCAAATAACTTACCGTTGATTTCCCTGTATCTAAATTTTTAGATAGAAATATACAAAATATTTCTATACAAAAATGTAGAAATATACAAATGTAGAAATTTCAGTAGAAATATACAGTTCTGTGACAAAGGATAAATAGGAGGAAAGTCCACTTCTGAAAAGGAATAAGCTTGAACAGTATGTTTGATATGTTTTTGCAGGGATGCAGAGTGTTCATTCTCTTGCCTTCTTCATAACGTACAAGGCAATGGGAGATCCTGAACAACAAATTCCATCTATTTTTGTAACAGAAGTTATGATGGAGGTGGTCACATCTCAAATCATGTTATAAAAATATGTATTACATTCTAACAATTTACTATATCTCTACTTCGACACTATTTCATACATTTCACAGTAAAATTGAATTCCCATTAGCTTGGTTATGAGCAGCCTTAAATTACTTTGAAGCTGAAGAATGACAAACACGAAAAAATAAATCAGAATAGATCCGTCAAGTAAGAAGAAGGAAATTGTATGCTTGGAAGCTGTAAGCTATTTTGGGACTGTTGTTGAGTTTGGAAGAAACATTTTAAGGAAACTTTCAGATTATTTCATTATTGTAGATGTGATCAACAAGAATAAGATTAGTACGTAAGTTTGGCATAGACCAAATGAAAATGATCTTCAGGAGGATAAATGAGGAATAATTTAAGAGGGGAAAAAAAATCCCAAGGATTTCATTGGAGTAAGGAGTTGGAAGAAGGTAGTTAGGCTGTACTGAGAACATATAGCACAGTTTTTATTGGCTTTATGCCTCTACAGATGAATTAATTTGCTTTTGCAGAAGGAAAAAAAGGAAATGATTACAGGTGGAAGTCTAGTTTGAAGTTGGTGTGACAAGCATACTAGAAAACAAAGCATGCTTTTGCCAGAAAACACTACTGGGTAAACTGTGGTTTCTGGTAAGACCTGCAGGTAAAGATAGGAAGAAGAATAAATGTGCTTGCAACAAAGCCAAGGTGGATTTGGGGTAAAAAAGGAAACTGTTTTGCTTGTGGTGAGATCAGACTTGGACTCCTTTCAGTATGAGGAAGACATTAGCAAATTGGATTTAGTTCAGAGAACAGCAGTGTAGCAATTGAGACTGGAAGCATTGCCTTTAGAAGCTTAGAGTGTGGATAAACTATACTAATAAACTTAGCAATTTGGAGAAGATAATAAAAGAGTAAGGGGTTGCATTCAGTATTTGAAAAAAATAAATGGGGAGGTGTGGTGGAAAGTAGGAGCAATGGATAAATCTTGAAATGGAATGGCCAGAAGATGTCCCAGGCCCTCACTCCAAGGAGATCCAACCTCCCAAAGGTGGCAGGAGATACTCAGGAGTTGGACTTGTTTTGCTTCGGACTTCTTTGTGTCCAAGAGCTAATTTGGCTCGTCTTTCTTTCCAAAATATCCGTAGAAACATGTGGGTTGGTCTGGAAATTTGAGGCCTGATTATTATATATCAGCATGTCAAAATTACTATTTTTTTAAACTTGTGCCTCAGTATTATGCAGTGTGTAGAAAGCTCCTGATTAGGGACTATTTGGTGAGCACAAGATCATGTTTCAGGCAATTTTATATTGCTCCACAGAGCCAACACAGAGTGGATGTTACCTTGCTCGGGACCTGCCAGATAATTTTGGATTCCAAGGTATAAAATCTGTCTCCTCTCCCCTCTATGCGTATTTTCTTTGTCATGGGCTTGTTGAGTTCACTGGATTAGTGCCATCAACCCTACCATCTAGGCCCTGATGTGGCCTAGATGCTGCTTTGTAAAATGTATAGAAGATAGCACTAATTTAGTGATTAGTTTAACATGGACTGGACTTCATGCTGTCTTCAGAGGTCTCTCTTCCTGAATGGATCTGCTTGCAAGGGTTCCTAGTTGAATAAAAGGGTATGGTTACTTGATCAAAGGTGATGGTACAAGAAATCTCACTGCTGGTGTTTTCTTTGCTTGTGGTTATAGGGATTAATGGAAGCTCTGTTTTTTTTACTGGGATATCCTTACTTGTGCTTATGCTGGTAGATGAGGCCTTCAGATCATTTGTAACTCTTGCATGTCCATTTCTGCTACTTCCCCTGGAAGGGAGCAGGTTATTAAAACTTCAGATTCGTTTCCTATAGCTTTCCCATTGCTGCATGCTGTAGTCTACGCTGTGCTCTGCTGTTTGCCAACTCGGTTCTGCCACATGTTACGGGAAGTGACAATTTGCAGTTATGGTGGCAGCCGACTGACTCTTCTGGTGCTCACTGGATTTTACCTGTGCTTCAAAATAAGATCGTCCTATTGGAGGGGGAGGGAATGGGGGTTGCTCTTCTCTGATAAGAGGGTTAGCATGTTGGGAAGGAGCATTGAGACATAGCTTGGGTCTCAAAAATAAGTATGTCTAAAAGTAGAAGTCAGGGCAGGTGTTCTGGTTGTGTTTTGCTTAGATCCTAGACTGCATCTTGAAGATCCAGTAGAAGGGTTAAGTAACCTTTCACTATCATTGTGGATGGATATATGGAGAAAATTCTTGCCCATGTTTGGTGTTGATCACTCTTGTTGCAGATACGGTCATGTAAGCAATGTCTGGTACCAATATTGGCTAAGGAGTTCCTGAAATCACAGATAAAGCTTAAAAAAAAAAACTTAAAAAAATTTAAAACTGCAGACCAATTTTCAAGTGCTTTCCATGTTTCCTACTACCATCCTCCTTGCATTGTGTACCACTGATAATAAAAATGGGATGGTTTGTAATGCAGAAAGGTTGAATTGTTGTGTGTTCGGTTTTTAACTGCTTTTCTTTCCTTTCCCAAATTCCAATAGGCGCATGGAAAAATTCAATAGAAGAATGGACAGCAGAAGACTGGAACGAAGATGTAAGTGTACCTCACAGGATAGACAGCTTTCTTTTTAAAGTCTGTGTCGTCTTCAGAAGTTCAATGACCTAAACGATACCATGCTGTATGTATGCAATGACACTTCTTAGCATATTTCTCCTGGCAATTCTTGTTTAAAACAGTATATTTAGGTAGTCTTACTTTTTTGAATCAAATTTAATTTAAAAATACTCATTTATTCTGTTGAGTGAACTATTAATGTATAATAACATTTTAAGTTGTATCCCACATTAATTATTAAGGACACATAGTTGTGTTGCTGAATACTGATGAGTGTTAATTCCATGCTTTCCCTAGTACTGTATAGAGACATAAAGTATCCCAAGCCTTATGAAAATACTTTCTAGTGCTACAGCTTACTAACAAGTTTAGCCTCACCATTTGGTCAGTTGGCTAAAATGGATATAACTATTTCAATCGGTCCTCTTGATGTTCAGAAGATTAGAGAGGGAGCTAGTAGTATGATGAAGTTATCGCTTAGTTCCTTGGGTTTCATTATGATGAGTTGTCTGAAGTACTAGAGCAATCTTTATTATAGCTCCTTAACAGATGAAATCTCATCTTTATGTCTGCAAAATATTTGATGTCTTTTGTTTATTATTTAAATGTTTGTATTTTTAAGTTGTCATTTAGTATACTGTTTCAAATCATTGAGCCTGAGCAGGTTAGGTAACAAATCAGGTAACACAAAAGTGTGGAAAGGAAAACATAGCATTTAAGAAGCTTTTCATCTTTTGTTAAGAACAATTTTAGGTAGGAGATTGTCTCAAAACTCATCCCTTTAGCTTTCCCATGTAGGTTGCCACGTCGCTTTTATGCCCATGCATGTGTGAATGTTTTTGTGTAACAGAGACAAACTCTGTCCTTTGCTGTTAAGCAGGGTGCGTGTTTGGAGGAAACAAATTCTAAAGTGTTACCTATTTCCAGTATCAGTTAACGATGTCAACTTCTGATGCTAGTTCAAAATCTGCCCTCTGTTTCTGGCATGCTAAGGATAGGGAAATATCTAATTTCTTCCACTAGCATGTTTGGTACTGGTATGGTACAGCAATTACAGCATAAGATATGTATTGAGCCATGGTGATTATAAATGGATTTATTTAGCTAGTTTTTTGATTAATAGATCTGGATAATTTGCATATGAATTTTGAATGAGTGGCAAATGAAATCTTTAGCCTGTCATTAATTTTTATTACTTTTGGAATGCTGGAAAAAATCCCTGAAACCTAGAAGAAAGTGTTGGTGTGCTAATGCTCAGATAAGAGTGAATGAAATGAAGAGCTGCAAAAAAAAAACCCAAAAGAACAAAACCTAATCTACCTTCCTGGAGAAAAATAAAGTAAAAAATGTTTTGTCTGTTTTGGGGGAGGGGGGAAAAAAAAAAAAAAA